AAGTTGTCAATATGAATCTTATATACCTCAATATACATCAGAATTAAATAAACCTAACCGAAATACAACAATTATAATAGATGGTAAAGATAAATTTCTGAATATTAAAAAATCAAAAATTCATATATCATTTAACTGTTTACAAGAAGATGGTAGTAACTATCCAGAAAAATCTAATGTAAAAATAAGTGATAATGGTGGAGCATTTATGTTCCAAAAAATTTTAGTTAAATTAGGTAATACAATTTTGGATGAAATTGAGTTTGTAGGAAGAGCTAGTACAATAAAAGGTTACATGAGTTATGCTATTGATGAAAATGGAACCACGGAAAATTCAGGATTTCTATCTTGTTTTGAAGGTGGTTTCCTTTTAATTCGGTTTAATTATTTTCATTAAAAACAGTACCACTAATATTTTTTATAAAACTTTGTGTATAAAAAATTAGATTGTTTGAACCTTTTATTTCATATTTTATATCAGGACCTACTTCGAATGATTTAGGCCATACTTTATTTATAGGGATTAAATATCCAATATAATCCATACCTAAACATTTTGCTAAATATTCATCAAAATATAGACCGATTGAGGCTGTAATATTTAAAACACCTTCAATTAATTCAAGACTTATTTTTGGAAAATTAATCACAAATTTAGCTCCGAATGAATTAAACACATTTTCAATTTCACTTATTGAATATACACCTATAAATATTGTACCTAACGGGATTAACGATTTGTCCTCGTCACCTAATTGTTTTTTCGGAAATGGTCTTAACAAATGTTCTCGCAAAGGAAAAGCTTCATCACCTATAAATACAAACGGTGCCATATTTGTTGTATTCGGAAGTAATTTCGTGTTAGGCACTTTTAATGTTCCTTTTTCAATACGATGGTATATTTTTGAATTATGTAAAACACCACCATCACTATCCTTACCATATGCTCCAATGTCAATCAACATAAATCGGTAGTTGGCATCAACAATAGCCAATAGAACGATTGAAAAAAATTGTTTGTAGTTATAATACATACTGCCAGAGTTTTTTGGACATTTTACTCGTATATGCTTTCCATCAATGCTACCAATACAGTTTGGAAAGTTCCACTTATTGTAAAATGCATCTGCAGTATTTTCAAAATCTGTAATAGATGGTCTTCGCATATGTACGTCACGTAGTGTAGTCCAAATTGCCTGACAAACTTCAATAACAATATAACTAACACTGGTTTTTGACACTCTGAAATTCATAGCAATTTGTCTGAACGCAATTCCAGTGGCTAGATATCTATGAAATAAAATATTTAACTATGATTAAAGTTTATTACGATTATATTTTCGTAATATATACATAAATGTGGTTATAATATTTAACTTTATTTCTATTTATTATTAAAACTAAAAAATAATACATATTATGTTCAACGACATCACGAAATATTTCGATAGCATGAATTTGCATTTAATTTTGGTTTTTTTCCTGCTTATTACACGTATTTTTAAAAAATAAAAAAATAATTTAATTGTAACTCTTTTTAGTTATTATAGGTACAGTTATTTATTTTTCAATCAAATAAAAAGATAAACAATATCCATAAGTTACTAGTTACTATACTATATTATGTTAATTTATATAGGCAATGAAGCAAAAAAAAAGGTGGAGAAACTTAAGAGATCAGTACAAAAAAAGAACTTAAAAAAGTAAAAAAACCAAAGTCAGGATCGTCACAAGATGGCCTAGAAAAATATCACGGGAAATGGTCGTATTTTGTGCCTATGCAATTTTTGAAAGACGTCGAGACTCCTAGAAATACGTCGGGTATGTTTTCCGATGATTGTGACGAGGATACTGAGTTAGGACATTCAAACGAACAAATATCAGATTCAAACAAAGATCAAGAAAATGAGGACAATCTCGACGAGGAAACGACACATAGTTTTGAAGTTATGGATCCATTATTACCTCAGACCGAAGCACAGACTAACTTAACACAATCAGTAAGAAATTCGCCTATTTCTGAGTCAAACAACTCAACAATTAAATCAAGTGGGCAAAAAAAAATGAAAAAACAGCAGGATGAAATGTGTTTTGAACAACAATTACTGCAACTTGAAAAAACAAAAATTGAAGCTTTTATAGACTCATCAAAAAATGCAGTAAAAGATGATGAGGACATGTATTTTTTTAAATCCATTCATCCTTATTTCGGTAATATGACTCCACTACAAAAATTGAGAGTAAGGACACAAATCCAAGAAGTGACTATGAGAGAATTATCTACACCATCATCTCAACCCATGAATGACAATTTAACTTATCCTTATCAAACATTTCCAATACATGTGCAACCATACAATCATCACAACTGATGCCATTCCAACCAATTCATCATCCTATGCAGTCTTTAGCGACCGAACAGACTTTATCATTACAATCAGATCATCCACCAAATTATAATTAATTAGTTTTTAATGATATGGTAATATTATTAATGTTTTAAATACTATTTATTTACATACCTAAATTATTACTTAATGATAATGAGTTTCACAAAAAGTATTCATTTTTTTTAAATTTTTTGTTAGATACCTACCTACAGTAATTATTATTTTTTAATTTTTAATACATAGGTGAGCTACTTATATCTGTTGAGGTCTTAATCTATTTAAAAGTAACATATTCTTTATTTTATATTATAAAATGATATTACATTTTATAACTACCAAGGTAGGTAGATTTTTTATTTTGTCTTTCATAAAAGCAGATTATTAATATTATTTTAATGTTTTCAATAAAATAACCATTTTTAAGATACCATTATATATGATATGTGTACCTATATTTATGAAGACATATGCAACTTAAAAAAGGTGTTCTGCTGTACTGTAGGTTACAAGTGGATCACTGTATAATGGATGGTATTAAATTTGAATTCAATAATATAATATCATTGTATAAGAAAAATGATTCTGAACGAAAACGGTCAGTCAGCCTATGATATTATTACCAAGTACCTATATTTTGATGATATTATTGTGAATAAAATAATTTATATATAACCTATTTACGTGGAACCTTGTTTTAAATTTTTAATCCTTAGTTATAAAAGTTGAACATTTTATACAATTTTAACAACAAAATAATTATTAAATTTTAAATATGATACATTTGTCAACATTTGAACTTTAAAAGCGTATGAAAAAAATTGTGCCTATGTATTTTTAATATTTTTCAACTGCTATTGCAACAATGAATCACAGTTAAATCACATTACAGTGACCCACTTGTAATCTACTGTACAGCAGAGTGATATCCACTTACCCACGTTTTTTTTATTAGGGTTACACTAAAAACTAAAATTAATCTTCTATAGAAGTACTTAATCTGATTATCATAATCATGAGAATATTAATAATTTGACATACGTTGCCTATTTTATACTTACCTAATAGTAATCAACAGTCGTTCTTCAACAGAGATTGGATCTTGAAAATTTGTGTACTCTCTTTGACAAAGTGGTGTTATATGTTGAGCAATGTAGTCAAATGTGTCTGTAGTCATTCTAGTGTATGCACGAAACATTATTTTATCTGTTCGTAATTGTGGATACAGTTAATGAAATTCTCCAAATGTAAATCGATCTTTATAAATCACATTTGGAGCAGATTTCTTTTACTTCTTCCTCATTTTAAGTAATTTATACTTTAAATAAATATTTTCTATTAAGAGTAAGCTTCGTTGATCTTGAATTAACGACATAATAGTAAATTACAGTTATTTTCACAAACATAAATCTGAATATTAATTAACTTGACACTATACGTCTTCTCAGCACGATATTGTAGTTGTAACTAAGTACAAATCGTATGCGTTTTCTCGCGTATTTGAATGCGTCAATTTTGCCATGCTTGCGGGAACTAGAATTCAGTGCGATGCGGTCAAATATCGCACCGTCTACTCGCATTGCGTGCACGCACCAGCTAGGACATACCTTTAGGTGTTATGTTAATATTTTAATATATAAAAACTACGACCGTGATCAACAAATACGTCATTCAAACGATAATATTATTGTAACATCCGTTATTGAAGTGTTATCTAATATATAGGGTGACAATAATACTTTTTGTATACATTTATAGGGTGTTGTTATTTGTCGAATACCAATTATATTATTTAAATAGTGTGTTTTATACTAATATAAATGCCTGAGTAGTGTGGCTCAGTGGGTTAGGCGTTAGGCTTTGTATGCATACATAGTAGGTTCGATACTGGCTGGGGGAATATAATTCTGATAATATTACAGCGCTATGGGCAATGTGTGGTTTGTTTGATAGTATGTGAGTACTATCGGATTGAAATCGCTGTGGTATGGCCTGTGTTATCATTACTAATGTTCTCCTCACTGGTCCCTGGAGTCTGCAAATAACACCTCCCCATTGTGTTGTGCTATTCAGGATACAATACTAAGTAGGTAGTGTCCGGTTGTACAGATGTTTGTAAAAAAAAAAAATGATAAAAAAGTGTGAGGAAAGCTGGCCAGCTCAGATGTCTGTGCAATCGGGAACTACTTTTGCAAATTGTTTGTATTTTTTTTCTAAATTTTTTTTCCTATTTTATTACAACACATATGTTTTATATGACCACCTACATTATATATTAAAAGTTTACCCCTCACTTCATATTTTTGGTTTAAGTTTAACTCTGTCGCTATTTATGTTAGAAACTCAATTCTTTCACTAAACATTTTAAAAAAGTCTTGGAAAATATATAATATTGATATGTATCATACACAAAACGAAGAAAAATCTACAATTATTGAACGATTTAATAGAACATTATTAAACGGAAAAATGAGAATATGTTTTGAAGTACAAAAATCTAAAAAATGGATTAAAATTTTACAATCATTATTGGATGAATATAATTGCAAAAACATACATCGATCTATTGGTATGAAACCTTGTGAAGTAAATAAATCTAACGAGGAGCTTGTTCTACACAAATTATTTTCTACAAAAAACAAACATAAATCAAAAATTAAATTTAGCGTGGGTGATAGAGTAAGAATAAAAGCTTATAAAAAAACATTTGGTAATAAATATAGTAATAATTGGACAAGAGAAATATTTATAGTTAATAAAATTTTAAATACAATTCCTATAACCTATAAAATTATAGATTTAAACAATGAAGAGATTGTAGGGAGTTTTTATAATGAAGAGTTGCAAAAAACAAAATTTTTAATAATATTTTTAATAGAAATTATAATAAAGAATGGAAAAAAAAAATGTTATAATTATTTGAATTTAAAAAATGATATAGAAAAATATATAAAAAAAGATAAATGTTATGTGAATTTTTGTCATATTGAATATCATGAAAATACTGAGAATGTTAAATATAATCTACATAAAATTCCAATTAATGGAAATATTTTCATTATTGATAAAGGAAATAAAAGTCCTTATATTTCTAAAGTATTATACTCACCAACTTGGTTAGAACTTTGTAAAATAGCTAATGATCAAATTATTACAACAGGTGATTATAAACATCATTATCTAGAAGATATTGTTGTTGTTCAAGATTTAGGAAATATTCTAATGTGTAAATTTATAATGGGATCTTAGTTAAAGGAATAAATTTCTGTAATATAGGAGACATTGTGTTATATATTTATTTAATAAATAATATATGACTGTCATATTGTGTGTCTATTTCTTGTTTGTTGAAATATATTATCTAATATAGATTTGGTAATAAATATAAGTTATAAAATTATTGATTTAGACAATGAAGAGATTGAAGATTTACAAAACACAAAATTTTAATAAATTCTCAGTTATTTATGATTTTAAAAATCATAAATAATTTTGTTTAATTGTAACCGTATGGTATTGTATCATAATCTGGTAATATTATTCTTTTATCATAATTAAACGAGAATTTTTTTGTAACTTTTTTATTAACAATATTTTTTATAAGTGTATCGCGTGTTATTTGATTATATTCTAGTTCTATCTTATTATCTTTGTTTTTTTGTTCAATTAATTTTATCATTGATTCACCATTAAGTTTTAACAAATTTTGATAATTCAAAGTAAATCCCTTTATAACTGTTTTAAATTTATTATCGTTTGTTTTATAATAATAACTTTTAGGACCTGTCGACGCCCAATCGGTTATATATATGTTTTCACCTAATTCATCAGTCCATTCTCCCAACATTGTTCCTGTTATAACTTTA